TGGGGCGTCAGGTCACCTATATCAGCGTCGGAGTCATCTGGGGACCACCTCTCGCCTTGGGCGGGGTGGTCCGCGTCCACTATCGAGGACAACTCTCGGCTCAAAGAAACTCATTTGTTGGCGTATTCAAAGTCTTCCTCCATGGAGTTTATCTCATGCTCTCTATCAAATGGCTCGTCACTATCTTGGCCGAACTGCCCGTTCAATGCTATTGGGATGGGATGAGTTCCTCTCGTGCTTCCCCATCCGTCTGGGACGGTGGGGTACAAGCCTCTGAATTCGTGAGCTTCTCCCGACCCACTGGCTTGGCCAGCGGCCGGCACGAATGTCTGTGTAGCAATCGGGCTAGAACTTATTGTTTCCGAGGATTCAGCGATCAAAAACGAGAATGCTCCTCGTCTAATTCTTGCTGTTCTGCCATTCCGTCTCTGCGGGTCTGGGGGTTGGTCGCGATCACCGATCGGAGCTCGAGATGGAGAATCATCTTCCGACAAGTCAACAACCTCTCCACTACTTCTTCCCCGAAAGGCCCGAGTAACAATACTAGAAGAGGGAAGGCGGCCCTGCCCCGGGCCGCTCTCCTGTAGTTCCTGTCCGTCGCGTTGTACAACTTGCTGTTCAGCATTTCGCGAAGTGGCGGACATTTCATCTGCTTCATCATAGCTCATACCCGTAGCGACTATGTCGCGGGTTTCGGCTGATAACCAATCTTTCCTCTGAGAATCGGGGTAATATGACAAAGGAATTAGTCTCACGTTCACTCTGCTCAGTGGTAGAGGGTACGGGATGAGACATCGATAAGACAAATAACCGGTAAACGAATGTACCCTAGGTATGGTAAGGGAGGAGGCCGGCCGGCCGACGCCCGCGCGCGGACGCACAGCGGCGCGCTCCTTTTTCACCTTCGAGCACAAACAGCTGCGGGATGGTACCGCAATAAAAGTCAGACAGTGCGCAGCGAGGCAGGCAATAGGATAAGCAGTATTAAGATGAGACGGAGAGGAGCATATTTACTGAACCGCTTGTTTTTCATAATTTGTTCAGGATGTCTCGAGCGAAACGCTGGTTTTGCAAACTTGGGGGATGTCTCGAGCGGGGGCCTCGTAGGGGGCCAGAATTCAGAGGATGTCTCAGGCGAAATGTTTGTTTTCACGTCCCGCTCGCAGGAATTCCGGGGATGTCTCGCGCGTGTCCCGCGCGCAGGAATTTTGAGGATGTCCCGTAGCGCGTCCCCTTGGCACGTCCTACCGTGCGACCCCATGGCACGTCCCTTGGCACGTCGCCTGGCGTGTCCCTTGGGACGTTTCGCAGCGCGTCCTCCTAGCATGTCCCCCTGTCAATTAGCTCTGGGGCGGCTACTATGTGTTCAGGCAGCTCGAGCTTCAGATCCAGATCAGTTCGGTCAGGACTCGGATGCAAAGGAAGACTCGATTCACGACGCTATAGAGCACAACCGCGGCATGGCACATCGCAATTCAGCACGGTGCAGCACAGCACAGCCCTCGGCACGGTACATCAAGATCGATACAATCAGCATTGCACTTGCCCGTCACCCAATCAGGTGTCTTTGAAGACGTTGCCATGCGTTACATTTCTATATTCCTTTCCGGGTTCGTGGGTCGATCATGTTTCTGTGATCGCCTAGCGGCCTGCGCAGAAAAAAAAGGACCTTGAGTCGGCGATGCATCGCTGACAGATCGGCGGAGTACGCCTCCGATAGTGAATCCTCCGCACGTTCCTGGGCAGGTTGGGGCTATCGAGCCCCTGTCGGCGATCAGTGGGCGATTGGGGGTCGATGCGTCCCCCCCTATGCCTGTCCCACCCCCTATCGTTGCCCCTGAGGGGGGAGGGGCACGAGAGATCGAAATGCACACTCACGGCAGCAGCCCAGTGGACTGGCGACGAGAGGCCGCGGTTGTGCGCAGCAAGCGCGCGCCCTGCGGGAAAGACCCGTGCGGCGGACGGGGCGGCGGGGCGGGCCAGGGTTCTCTTTTAGTTGGTTCACCCCCCGGTTTCGACTTGAAGGGGGCCGGCGAAATTATTCTGCGGGCGAAATTATTCTGCGTAAATAACGAAGTAAAGCGCTGATTTTCAATCGAAAAAATACGTTTCGTGCGTGCCCGCTCGATGAAAGTGCGTCCCCCATCTCGGATCCTCGTTAAAAAAAAACGGGGTCCGCAGACTCCCGCTTTCCCTCGTAAAAAAAAGGAGCGTTTTTCGCAGAATCCTCTGCAAATAACGGAGTCTGGAGCCCCGACCGCGACGCGGAAAAGCGCCCCGCGCGCAGGAATTCGAGGATGTCTCGCGCGTGCCGCGTCCCGCGCGCAGGAATTTCGAGGATGTCTCGACTAATTCGCTTGTTTTGTCCGGATTTCTTAAAATTTTGGCAGGATGTCTCGAGCGAAACGCTTTTTTTACATAGTTTGTTGAGGATGTCTCGAGGGAAACGCTGGTTTTGCAAAATTTGGGGATGTCTCGAGCGGGGGCTTCGTGGGGAGCAAGAATTCAGAGGATGTCTCATGCGAAATGCTTGCTTGTTTTCGTGTCCCGCTCGCAGGAATTCCAAGGATGTCTCGCGCGTGCCGCGTCCCCAAACGCAGGAATTTTGAGGATGTCTCGACTAATTCGTTTGTTTTGCCAGGATGTCCTTGGATTTTGACCGGATGTCTCGAGCGAAACGCTTGTTTTTCATAATTTGTTCAGGATGTCTCGAGCGAAACGATGGTTTTGCAAACTTGGGGGATGTCTCGAGCGGGGGCTTCGTGGGGAGCCAGAATTCAGAAGATGTCTCAGGCGAAATGTTTGTTTTCACGTCCCGCTCGCAGGAATTCCGGGGATGTCTCGCGCGTGCCACGTCCCGCGCGCAGGAATTTTGAGGATGTCACGTAGCGCGTCCCCTTGGCACGTCCTACAGTGCGACCCCATGGCACGTCCCTTGGCACGTCGCCTGGCGCGTCCCTTGGGACGTTTCGCGGCGCGTCCTCCTGGCATGTCCCTCTGTCAATTAGCTCTGGGGCAGCTACTATGTGGTCAGGCAGCTCAAGCTTCAGATCCAGATCAGTTCGGTCAGGACTCGGATGCAAAGGAAGACTCGATCCACGACGCTATAGAGCACAACCGCGGCATGGCACATCGCAATTCAGCACGGTGCAGCACAGCACAGCCCTCGGCACGGTATATCAAGATCGATACAATCAGCATTGCACTTGCCCGTCACCCAATCAGGTGTCTTTGAAAACGCTGCCATGCGTTACATTTCTATATTCCTTTCCGGGTTCGTGGGTCGAGCATGTTCTTACTATCAGTCTGATTAGTATTACTTTCCTTTCTACTTTTCTTTTCGTTCTGAGAATTCTTCTCCCTCTCCGAAAAATCCCCCACAGCTAGAGCCTCCATGGCTCGAGCTCCTCGGGTCGGCGCCCTCGGGGCCCGCAGCGCGGCGCAGGGCTGCCCCGCGGCCCGCCTCCTGGCCGGTGCCCCGCCTGCTGCGCCTGCGCGCCCCCGGCGCCGCCGCTCCTGGGCGGGCTGCGGAGACCTTGGCGCCCGCGCCCGGCCCGCACGGCCGCCGCGCCCGAGCAGCCGCCGCGCTGCGCACGCCGCCGAGGTGGGCGGCTCCGCCCTCCGCAGCCGACCGACCGAGCGAACGACGCACGCCATCGGCCGGGAGGCCGTCCCGAGAAGCCCCCCCCCCCCGCAGGACACGAGCGGCTCCGGCGGGAGCTCCGCCGTGGAGGGCACCCGCCCTGCACGGATGCCCAGCGGAAGCCGCCAAGGATGGGCCGAAGGGGCAAGGATGCAAGGGTACCCTTGGGCCCACAGTTCAGGCGGGAGCTCCGTCTTGAAGGGGACCGCCCTCCATTCTTCGAGCTATCGAGAATGCGGCAATAACCAGCCTCGGACTTAGCCTCATCCCTGGGATCGAGGCGCCCAAAGGCGATTATCATCGCAGGGATGTGCCCTCACAAGCTGAAAGCATCGAGATCGAGTGATGCCATGCATAGGGATGGGGATATGCTTCAGGCTGGCAAGACAATGTGGGAGGGTAACAAGTAAGGTAATGCCCAACAACAGCCCCGCGGTGAAAGAGAATCGCGCTGCCTCCCTGTAGCTGTTGAATCAATTTACACTTCAGGTCATGAAATCAAACGAGAGCCCAATGTTGTGAAAAGAAAAGCCGCATGTCATACGTGTCACTGGTGATCCACCACTTTGCACGCATGTAGCGATAGTTGGTCATACATTTCAAGCGAGAGCTACATGTTGAACACATGCCGGCATCTAGCTGCCCGCACATGTCGATAATAATGCCCGCAACGCTAAGGCGAGAACCACATTATGAAAACCACTGGCCCTCAGCCCGTGTAACTGCTAGAAACCGTTAAGACGAGACGAATGTGTGCGGCGCTCACACGGTAAACACATTTTGAAAACCACTGGCCCTCCAACCGTGTACAGGAAGTCTCTAGCCAAGCGCCTGGCCCAGCCTGAGGACACGTCTAGCGCTGCGACAAGGAAGGGTGACTCATAAGGAACAGTGATGGTGGAGGAGTTGGAGAACGAAGAGGCGGAGAAGGAGGACGCAATGGGGGAGAGGAAAGAGGGAGGATGATCACGAAAAGAAGCGGAGGATTCCCACTACCGTGAAACCCTCTACAGGTCCGTCTCGAGAAGGGCTTTGAGCTCAGGCCATCTCGAGACGAGACGAGCCTGCAGAGAAGGGTCAGCGCTGAGGTTCAAGGTTTGCCGTCACCCCTCCTTCTCCTCCAACCGAGGAAGAAATCAGAAGGCCGAGATGGATTATGAGCGACTGGAGAAGGGGAGGCACAGGAGCAGGAGCCGGAGAAGGATAAGTATGACGACGACGAGTGTGAGGAGGAAGAGGAGGGTGACGACGACAGGGAGGAGTGAGGAGGAGGAGGAGGAGGAGGAGGACGAGGAGGAGGAGGAGGAGGATGGGAGAGGATGAGGGGGTAGCAGGAAGAAGAACAAGAAGAGGACTCCTTCTCCTCCACGGGACCCTCTGTCACGGTGAAAAGCTCGCCTACAGCCAATTTCCTGACCACGTTGCAGTTCTTGACCTTGGAGGCACCACTGCCGTCCGGGCGAACTCCTGGCCCGAAGGTCCAGATCGATGGCTCGATCGACCGCTACCGTCCAGATCGATTGACGGACCGGCGACATGACCGAGCCCCAATCTCCGATCCTCCTGCTTCCTCAAAAGCTCTCGACGTCCAGCTCGTCCGTCATGGCCACTGACGTCACGCAGGAGTAATAATTCGCGTCGGCCTCCAGGGACACTCTGCTCCTCCTCCCTCGCTCGCTGCTCCTCCTCCTCCCTTTCCTCTATACCTCCATTCCCCTTCCCCTCAGCTGCACCGATACGCAACACGCAACACGTAGCGTATTGATACGGAGCTCAGCACTTAGGCTGAACACGAGGGTCCAACGCGATACACTCGCCAAAACGTGGTCCAATACGTGGAGCCAACACGCAACGTATTGACACGGACGTCTTGAACACGGGACGTATTGCGTTTCAAGACGGGCGTATCGAGGCAACCAGGCCCTTCCCCCTTCCTCCCATTCCCCCCGCTCTCTGTCCCTCCCTTCCCCTCCCCTCCCTCCCGTCCCCTCCCTCCCCTGATGCCTCCCCACTCCCTCCCTCCACTCCTTCCCTGGTGCCTCCCCTCCCTCCCTCCCTCCTCCCCTTCTCCTCCCTCCCTCCCTCCCTCCCTCCCTCCCTGTCCTCCCGCCCTCCTTTTCTCACCCCTCCATCCCCTGCCTCCCTTCCGCCCCCCGCCCCCCTCCGCTCCCTTCCCTCCCTCCTCCCCCCCCCCTTCCCCCCCCCCGGGTGGGCGAAGGCCCCTCGCCCTCCTCCCCCCCCCCCCCCGAGGTGCGGGCGGGCAGGTGGGCGGACGAGGTCTGGACCGCGAGCGGGCGGAGTCGGCCAGGGTGGGGGGGGGGAGATCCGCACCTCGGCTCGCGGCCACCGCCTCGGCGGAGGGAGTGAAGGGCGGGGGGGGGGAGACGGAGACGAGGCCCGGGTGGGCGAGGGGGGCTGGGAGGGAGGGGGAAGAGGATGTGGACGGTCATCGTCCTCCTCCTCCCTCCCCTTCCCCCCCCGGGCCGGCGGAATTATTTCTGAGGATGTCCCTAGCGAAACGCTTGTTGTTCAGAATCTGTTGAGGACCTCTCGAGCGAAACGCTGGTTTTGCAGAGTTGGGGATGTCTCGAGCGAAACGCTTGTTTTCAGAATTTGTTGAGGATGTCTCGAGCGAAACGCTGGTTTTGCAGAGCCGACCGCGACGCGGAAAAGCGCCCCGCGCGCAGGAATTCCGATGATGTTTTGCGCGTGCCGCGTCCCGCGCGCAGGAATTTCGAGGATGTCTCGACTAATTTTGGCCTCCAGGCGCCTCTGGGCGTTCCTGGGCCCTCCTGCGCTCCAGACGACCGCATGTTAGATATCCCCCCTGGGTGGGCTGGACCACGTGTTTTTACATGTGCAGGCCACCCAGGTTGTATCTAACGTGGTGGTCACGAGCTGGAACCATATATTTTTACGCATCCAGGCCACCCAGGGGGATATCTAACATGGTTGTCCCGAGCTTGAACCATATGTGTTTTTACATATCCAGGCCACCCAGGGGGGTGTCTAAAATGAATGTTCTGAGCAAAGACCACGTGTTGTAACGAGTCCAGGCTACCCAGGGGTGTATATAGCTTGGTTTCCCGAGCTGGCACCATGTGTTTTTAGGTGTCCAGGCCATCCAAGGGGATATCTAACATGGTTACCCCGAGCAAGGACCACGCATTTTAACGTTCCGTAGCGCGTCCCCTCGGCACGTCCCGCGGTGCGTCCCCGTGGCACGTCCCCTGGCACGTCGCCTGGCGCGTCCCTTGGGACGTTCCGCGGCGCGTCCTCCTGGCATGTTCCCCTGTCAATTAGCTCTGGGGCAGTTACTATGTGCTGTGGCAGCTCGAGCTTAAGATCCAGATCAGTTCGGTCAGGACCCCGATGCAAAGGAGGACTCGATCTACAACGCTATAGAGCACAATCGCGGCATGGCACATCGCAGTTCAGCACAGCGCAGCACAGCACAGCCCTCGGCACGGTACATCAAGATCGATCCTTTCAGCATTGCGTTTGCCCGTCGCCCAATCAGGTGTCTTTGAAACGCTGCTATGCCTTACAGTTCTATATTCCTTTCCGGGTTCGTGGGTCGATCATATTGTTTCTTCATTATTATTATTTTTTCTCTCTCTCTCTCTCTCTCTCTCTCTCCCTCAAGAGATATACGTGTATATCGACACCAATCGCATTCTCTATCTCTCTATCTCTCTCTCCCTCTCTCTCTCTCATGCTCTGGTTTGCAGGAGGTGAACGACGAGCCTCAATAACTGCGGCGAGGGAGACTGCAAGAAGAAATACAACGCACGGCGACCCTGTCTGCGGACCCAAGTTGAATCTTTCGTCCTGGCAGGGATCTCGAGTTCGCTCGCACCTGCAATGGCCGAACTGTTCATGGCTGTGGTCCTGAAGAGCCGCAAACCCCACAACGCGCGAGATAGAACCTGCAACCTACAGACCTCTCTCCTCCTTCCTGTCTTCTCCTTCTCGCCCTCCTCGTGCAAACGTACTTGAGAAAACGTGCATGCGCCTCAGTGCTCGAATTCGCTGCAGACAGGTCCGGTTTGCTGGGTGCGGTCGCGGCGATGAGACTCCGCACGACGGCCGATTGGCCGATCGGGGGACGGAGAACAGAATCGGTCCTGAAGGAATACAGGGGGAGGAAAAAGAGCAGGAGAAAGGGATGGGGATGGGGAGGGGGGGGCTGGGGAGATACAAGAAGGACTATGAGGCGGACGAGAAGCGGGACGAGAGAGAGAGAGGGGATGGCAGCAACAAGTACGAGGGCGAGGGCAGGGACGAGCACAAGGATCAGAAAGACGATGATGATGAGGAGGAGGAGGATCAGCAGGTGGAGGATGATGATGAGGAAAAGGATGATGATGGTGGTGAGGATGATGTTGATGCTGATACTGACGCTGCTGATGTTGATGCTGCTGATGCCGGAGCTGATGCTGATGATGATGTTGATACTGCTGTCGTTGGTGATGGTGAAAACGAAGGTGATGGTGATGATTATAATCACGCTGATGATGCGGATGATGACGATGATGATGACGATGATGATGACGATGCTGATGATGATAATGAGCATGTTGCGGCTGATGATAATGGCGGTGATGAGGATGATGGTGGTGACGATGCCGAAAGTGAGGCGATGATGCAGATGCTGATGCTGATGGTGATCATGACGGTGATGAACATGATGATAATAATGAAACAGGTTCTGATGATTCGAATGATGATGCTGATGCTGATGATGATGGTGGTGGTAATGATGCTTACGGAACGAGACGCGCGGACTGCCATCGCCGCTGCCATCGCCAGGCACTCCGTCGGGGCGCGGCACATGTTATTATGATGGTGTTGATGCGCGTGGAAAGATAAGTGTAGATGTCCGTCTCAGAGTTTGTGGTAGGTCTCAAGAGCAATCAAGACTGAGTGAAGGTCTTCGGAACGTTTGGCGCGAAGACCTATGCATTCGGGCCAGCGCGGAGTACACGGAGGACCACAACGGAAGGCAGTCGGCATAGTGAGCCGTTGTCCGTCGCACTGCAGCCAAGCAGGCACTTGTGCACAACTCCTCCATGCATCCTCGCGCTGGTCGTCAAACTGCCCATCAATGTTTCAAGGCACGAGGCCAAACTACGAGTGCGAGTCTTCCTTATCGCGCCAAGTAGGGATTCGAAAACGATGTTGTCATAATGCTGGCATGCTCTGGCCAGTGGCGGCGCATGTCACGGATGCTCGGCTGAAAAAGCACTGTCTTCAGCATCGTGTAAGCTATCCGCTGCGCGCCTTTCTGCAAGTCGGGGTTCTTGTTGATCTCTTTGGCGACGGCTGCCACGGCCCTCTGAAGTTCTTAGGATACGGGCAAAGGATGCAAGGCAGCGACGCGCTGGAGTACATGCGATTCCTGGCGTCTGCCAGCGCGGAGCCCAAGGGGCCAAGCGCGCGAGATCAGCGAGAGGACGATCCGGCCCATCGCGGTAAGCGTCCCGCCGAAGCTCCACCAATGGCATCTTCCAGTCGAGAGTCAAAAATGGCAGCTCGACTCGGAGTAGGGACGCGGGCCAGAAGCGGAGATGACGTCGACGACGCCGAACTCGGAGGCACGAGCCATCCCGCGAGTAGTGGAGGTTGACGGCGGCACATGCCAGAGCTCGCTGATAATACCGTTCTCGGCCTGCAAGAGTGCGCGCCGCGGGGTTCCGAACTGGGCAACGTACAACATTGTGGGTACGGCCTAGGCGTTGTGCTCCTCGATCGCGGTGGTGGTGGAGCCTCTGGCCTTGGAGTATGCGTCTGCTCACTGCTGCCACTTCCTCGCTGGGGCCTCCCACATCTCGTCGGTACGGTCGGGGCCCATGAGATAGCCAAGCTAGATCGCAGCCTCCGCGATGGCAAACTGAATCCGCTCGGGAACGATAGCCTGCAGCTGCTTCCGGATCGACTCGATCATCTGGCTCACGAACATGTCGAAGAGAGAAATGACGTGACGATGTGTTTTTTTTAGCGGCTAACATATCTGTGTAACTTACTCTGGCAGTCTTAGCGCCGCCTAAGCTGCTAACAGACAGACCTGACGGGCAAGCACGGCATATATACACATACAGCCAGCATGCACGGCAGGCACAAACTGTTTTAAACCCCGCGCTTCACGATGGCACGCGGGCGGGTGATGAACGAGAAAAAGCGAGGCTTAAGCACATATGTTTAAGGACATGGAGGGGTATCTTGGGGGCCAGACACCCGAAACCCTCAGCACGTCATTTTCGTGTTACACACCCATGACGTGACGATATGTTGTTTTTTTCTAGCTGCTAACATATATGCGTAACTTACTCTGGCAGTCTTGGCGCCGCCTAAGCTGCTAACAGACAAACCTGACGGGCAAGCACGGCATGTATACACATACATCCAGCATGCACGGCAGGTACAGACTGTTTTAAATCCCCAATTCTGTCCAAAAGCTGGCTTTGGCCAGTTCACATTATAAGATCAAGAGACCTTATGTGGGCCAGGAGGGCAGCAGCTAGCGAGCGTGAGAAAGCAGCGGGCATGCTGAAGCCACCTAAGCTCAAAGATCCTGGATGCGTTCTAAGCCGAGCGGCCTCTACGCGCAGCCCGTCGAGATCCCGAGACTCGATCCCTCTGC